GGAGCGACGTCACTGGAGCGTGCAATGAAAGTCAATTAACAAGTTTTGGTTTATCATCGACTCGGCATAAAACTGGTATCTGTTGGGCAGCCTTGGACACACCGCTCCTCGTGTGTAGCCGCAAGATAAGACGCTTTTGTCTTTTTGTTATCTTTTTTTTCGTGCCGTGTTGGCTCTTTTAGAGGGGGGGTAGGGGGTTACTCGGAGCAATGTCTAAGACACAATCGGCCAGCCACTCCCGCTCTGTTTGCAAGACCAAACAGCGAGGCCGTTGGAGTGGTGCTGAAGTCCTTTGTTCAACTTGTCAGAGCACGAAGGTGCGCTGGACTGTAGTGGCCCGGTGGCCCGCAATCATGGCTTGTGATCATCATCATCATCATCGTCGTCGTTGTCCATGCTCGATCCACTGCTCGGTGAAGGTCTCTGCAAGCGTGCGCCATTCCTCACGATCTCGCGAAGTGACGATTAACTTAGCCAGGGCCGTCCATGGGGGGGGGGGGGCTCCCGATGCCTTCAAACTAAACGGGAAGTATTACTTCGAAGCGCGGGGTCCCCCAAATCGCGGGGCCCGGGGCTGGCGCACCGATGAGCCGTACCCTAGGGACGGCTCATAATTCAGCTCATCCACTGGCTCCACACGAACTGATCTCACCCATCCACTGCAAAGCTTCCCACAGACAAAGATTCCCCGTGGAGCCTTTAACAAACTATTATTTTCAAACCCTGTTAGCGAGCACCTATGAATGCCAGCACAGAACATGAGGGAGTGGGTGGCCTGCACTACGCCCGGACGCCTTTGTCTCCCTGGAGGAGATTTTTTACACATGGCACCAGGTGTTCATTTGAGGCCGAGTCCACCTAGCGGTGGCCCAGGACTGCTTTAGATATTCGTCACTGGTGTTGACCTCACAGACAAACAGACAAACACACACGCGCATAAATTAATAACAGAGGTAAGGATCCCCACGTAATCCCTTGATGGTACAAACAACGTCGGCTAAAGTTTCGCGCGCGTGCACGCGAAACTTAACTCACTCGCTCGCACGGAAAGCAAAACTTCCCGTTGTTGAGTCTCATAAATCGGCAGGCTCCGGGCGAAGTGTACACAGAGGGGCGAGTTGACACGAGGACACACAAGAGACTCGTGAGAGACGACATTGACTCCCCCGAAGCTCACCCACACACGAGCTGCAGCCACCGTCAGTCAAACCCACATCCTCCCGCAACCCAGACGGCATGACTCAACGAGATCTTCAACGTCTCCCCACACAGAGCTCGTGATTCTGTTTGTTTTCGCTTCGCCAGTTGCTTGGGCAATCCACGGCTGGATGAGAGGATCCGTCACCTGCCCACGCCGCGGAGAGCATAGACGTTTGAGCTATAGTACAGTGCAACATTGCATTTTGCTACAATGCCCTCGACTGACGTTTCATATTTTCCGGATTACAAGACGCATCTTCCGCCCTTTCATACTATACTATATTTAAAAAAAGAAGTTGTACTGGCTGGAGGGACGGACGGTCACGTTCAAGAGGACGTGTGGGCTGCCAGTTTATTATAAAGTTAAAGTTAAGGGTGCGTCTTATAATCCGGTAGGTGTGCGCGTGCGTGCGCGTCGTCGGATCTGTAAAACTTGACTGTCACGAGACACCAGCTGGGTTCCGCGTGTTACTTTCACGCGGCGCTGATGATCCGTAGACTACGGTAGGCAGGCGGCGTCACGCAGCACGAAGGAGTGCGGACGTGAGCGCAGTGGCCGCCCATCCACTCTCCTCGCAGACTCAACGACGCTTGGCTTATCCGAGATCTCACGGCATCGGGTGGTACAGTCCGGGTCGAGAGTGCTGGGCGCTCGGAACCGGTCACAAAGATCACTCGCCACTGACATTATCAGCCCGGGGGGACTCGATCTCAGGTGTCAGGGTTCACGGTGCAATGTGATAACCACTGCGGGTTATCTCGCCTCGTCGTTGTTGTTACGGTCCAAAGGCGTGGTGGCTCCCGTCTGTGGCCCAGCGCGCTTTGGAGACAGGGGTCGGCGAATCAACGAAAGATTTACGAAAGTTCCAAAACCCGACGAGCTACGCGCGGGTGTTGGCCAGATGACGGCGGTGGGGTTCGTCGCGAGCCCGTCTGTGCGAACCTCGGCGGGGCATCCACATGCACGGCTTTGCGAGCGATCCGAATGGACATTCAAGTCTGGAGACGCGACGCCAAATAAGCACGATGGCCTCACCAGCTGTGGGAAGTGTTAGTTTCAAGTTTTCAAGTTAAAATTTTTAGGTATAGCCCTGTGAGCCATGCGGCTCTTGAGTCGAGTGCAACCGCAACAGACACAATATGAACAGAGAACATCTTAAAGCGACGACGCGCAACAGAAACATCCTGGATAAACCAGCGTCTATCCACGTCGTGCGTGGGGACCCTCAGGGCACTCCGCTTACAATGGGGCGTCGAGACAAATCCCATCAGCGAGAGTTCGTCTCCATGCAGCACGAAACCGGAGAGAACCCAGCACGCAAGCGCGCGACACTCAAATCTGCGCACAGACCGATTCGATCGGCTTGCAGCGCTGCCCGTCTCGCCGCTGCTATCACCTCGCACCACCGCGCCTGTTTGGAGTTGAACGTGCGTCTTTACGTGACCCACCAACCCTCGCCTCCAGAAGCGCCGGATCGCAGGGTGCGCTGGGTCACACCCGCGATGCCCGACTCACCGCGCACGTGGCCAGAGTTCGTTCCCTGGCCACTCTCGAGCGAGTGCGTCGGTCTTCCCTCTGTGCCCTCACGACCGAGCCGTTCCGGGAGGGGACACGGAGGTCACGTTCCCATTAACACGATTCTAGCACCAGGAGGCCTCACTCCAGCCGCCTCTGTGCCCTGGTCGGCAAACGCGCCAAATAATTCCCGTACCCGGCACACCACATCCAACATACCTCTCGCTACGGCTGTGGCTACTGCGTGTCACCTCCCACATACTCCAATATGTATGTATCGATATCTATACACGTATCTATTTAGATCTACCCAGCGACCCAGCAAATATTTAGTGAGACATGAAGCTCTGGGTCTCATGGTTTCCGCTGCTGCCCTCCAGATGAACACGGCCCAGTTTTGTTGTTGTTGTTGTTGTTTTGAGTGGACGGTCGAGAGCCGGGGGGGGGGGGGGGGCAGCGCGGCGCGGTCACGCGACGTGGAAGGGGCGATGGGAAGAGCGACCCCCCCCCCCCCGCACGTGCCTCAAGGGAAGTTGCGCTGAGACAAACATCCTCGCCGTCACTGCCGATGACAACGCAACTCAACACGATCCGTCAACTACACTGCGGCCATATAATGACGTTTCGGCCGATGGCCCTTCTTCGGGGCACAACTGGATAGGTTCAAGAAGAGATTAGCGTGGATTCGTGAGAGTTGGAGACGGGCACTCGTTTACACCACGGGGCCAGGTGAGAATTTCATTTAAAAAATATCTTTTCCGAGTACCACATTAAATAAAATAGGTATATAGTTACATTTTAAGCAGCTACTTAGTAACAGACCGAAACGCTTAACTACCAAAAAGTATTTCTAATCAAACCAACTTATACTTAAAGTAACATTTTATCACGGTTGCTGGCACATCGGGGATTACTGGTTAAGAGTAAAACAAGTTTTTTTTTTGCCAGGCGAATACATAATTAGGGATGCGCGTTCGTGGGTCCAATTATCATGTCCATAGGACGAGAGCGCGTGGCGCTAAGTGGAGCGATTTCCCGAGTTTCTCGCGTTCCCAGGGACGTCCTCAGACGCCCCCCCCACGCCCTTCCTCCTGTAATGCTCTTCAGAAACATCCGATATGTCAATGTTTATATTTTCGCCGTGAATGGGGAAGGCCGCGTGATGAATTCGTTCCGCGGGCCATGCGCCCACGTGCACATGAACACAAAGGAGCGGTCACGAGCTCGTTCACTCATGGAGGGGGGGCAAAAAAAGTATCCGATCGCGATGCGCTCCTGCAAACAATGCACAGACCCAACGTGTACACACACGCGCGCGTAGTCTCAACAAGGGGGCAACGTGCCTGCTAGGGACGGCCACATTTCATACCCACAAGTCCCGGACTCGGCAGTTCTGGGGTGGAGAGCCCACGCGCCGGGTTTACCCATTTAAAGGCAGTCGACCTTGGGAGTAGCAGCACAAGCCCGGCTTCGATGCCCCCCCTTTTTCTTCAAGAGGAAAGTTTGTGCGTGTGTACAGAATCCAGGAACGCCGCCCAACGGTACGTACTTCGCTACCACCCCTCGTGTGCAATCGCGTAAACAGAAACTCAGCACAAGAGTGGGACGACGTGCACTCACGGCCAAGCCACCCACGTCTCCACCCCATGGCGATGTCGTGTGCACGTCACACCACACGCACCGGTCAAGGCGCAGTCGACCCGTGCCTTGAGAAGGCGTGGCCGGTGCTAAATTGGGCAACGTTGGAACGGTCACACTTGGACTCCTTGCGCTGGTTGAAACCATGAAAACGGCCACACTTTCAATTGTGTATGCACTGGTCTGGCCAAGGCTAACGGTTTTTGTTCACGAAAAAACACGTTTTTGGCTGCCACGAGTTCCCATCACCTTTTAACTTTACCTGGTCTCACCCTCGGGCCACACACGTTCTTGGTCGATGGCAGAGCCATACACTTGTGTACAAACTCCAAAGATCAACCCCCCCCTCCCCCCACTGTAGCTTTGTGTGGGGACAAGTGCTGCTAGGGCACTTGTCAACACGGCATGCAAGATGCCACCAGCATCACAGCCACCTGTCGCCTCCCCCAGTGCCAATTTCATACACCCCAGCACGTACTCATTTAAAAAAGGCCCAGTCAACCCAAGGCAAGCCCAGGAATGTGAAAACGCCACCAATGTCCAGAAGACAGGAATCACTCAGCCAAAAACGGTGTCACAGGAACAAATGCAATGTGTGCTCCACCTTGCTCGCCACACACCGAGTCACGGACACACTGGAGAGGAGTTTGGCAGCGGAAAGTTTTATTGAACAGAGCAGGCGGGTGAATAAGTATTCATTTCAAACCGTGTGGCAACGGGTCTCTTTGGTAATAAACCACGATATGGGCCACCCAACGCCAAAAGAGCAATTGGGACTGGCAAAAATCACACCGCAAGTTCGCTCGGTGGGAAAAAGTGAATTTCAAACCGTTTGCTCATCATTGTCGATTTAAGCAGCAGTGTGGATGCACGGGAGGAAATCGTTTTTAACGGAACAAGTCGCGGGAGGTGGGGGCAGGAAGTGGCTTCTGGGTTCACAGGGAACACCCCCCTCCCTCACGCCGCCTTCTCGTACGTCCTCACGCAGACCACGTCGTCCATGGTGCACGTCTGCAACGACACGGGGGAGACGCATTAACACACGGGATACTGAAGGACGCGGCCTGCAAGCATCCCCCCCCCACCTCAACTGCAGGGAGGCATCTCCGGATGTCAAGCCCAGCAGGCTGGATCATGGATCGCAACAAGAGTTGTGGATGTGGGTTTCAAAGGGGGGGGGGGGGGGGGTCCAGTGCGGTAATAGATTATAAAGTCCATCCGTGTGGTGCTTTTTAATGTAATCCCCCCCCCCACCAACCATCCTCCTCATACATGCCTATTATCTTTAAAAACCCATTTAGATGAACATCTTGTATTATTTAGGAGATACTAAAAGCAACTAACCTTTACCATATAGAATTGGCAGGAGAGGGGGGGCGGGGTTAACTTTTTCTGCAACCTATGCACATGCACGCAATTGCAAAGGCTGCACCTTTACCGACACACGGTGCACGGCCAAGTAGCTTCGACGGCGTTGTGTGCAGACGCTGCCCGCCGCACGTAGCGGACGCTGGGCACACGTTGACGACTATTTACAGAGCGCATTAGGTTACCCTTGGCACGAGAAGCTCCGCTAACCGGATTTTCGTTTCAGCGCTACGGCAGGCGGCAGGGCAGCCAGGAGCCCAGGTGGGCCCCAAGTCGCAGTGAAGAGTTTGAAATTCAAAGCCGCAGCCAGGTGGGATTTGGGGTCGGCCAGGTCCGTCCGAGTGGCGGTTTGACGCCAACACCCAGGTTCACTTAGAGAGCCACAATTGAAAATCGGGATGCCAATCCCAATACCGATTCGACAGTCTGGATTGTAGCAATGATGCTTAAAATAGTGCCAATTCCTAGCCAGTTGAATGAATTTGTCTGCAAGAATTGGTCAGTTTGCTGGCAAGCCAAAACAAGAAAACCACGTGACAATGTAGGTTTGGCAGTGATGGGCCTTAAAAGCCACAAACATAGCCAAGTACATGGGGGGTGAAAATCTTTTATGAATTGGCAACTCGAGAATATTTTAAATCCAGTATACCACTCAAATGGATATTTAAGTGTGCCACTTACACCAGTTCTAAGCGGAGAGATCCCAGCAAAACATTCGATAATTTAAGAGCCTGACTGTACTCCCGTGTAGTCCCCAGCCTAGGTCGTGTCCTGGACTGTCTCACACGAGCCTCAAGCTTGCCGAATGAGAGAAAAAGGTTATAATGGCCTCAACGACGTCAGCACCGAAACTCTATAGGGCCGTGACGACACTGCAGTGACGACCACGTTAGGTAACGCACGTCTCAGCCCGTGTACTTGGCAAGCCCAGAGTTCCCATCCCCCTCCCATGGGCAAGGGGGCCTTACCACGACGAGTTTGCCATCCACCACCTCCCGCACGAGGGTCGTCTGCTTGCCGTCCCACTTCTGCAGCTGCACCAGCTTCTTCCCGTCCACCGTCAGCGTGGTCTGTGCACGGCGCGCGAGGGCACATGCCACCACGCGGTTAGCGGTCGATACCAAAAACTACAGTGGTCATAGTAAAAAAGGTGTAAGGTCGCATAAATATAAAACATGGTCGTCAACCCACCACCCGACATAGCCAATTATAGCAAGGCTTGGTCACGTAAACAGTGTCAATTAGTTACGACTGCAGCACATCAGTGTGCTAATATTGGTCACGAAAGCATACGTGTTAAACCTCCAGCAGTGGATTTAACACTCAGCCGCAGCGCCCCCTCCACCCCCCCAATCAGCCACCCACTCCGGTAAACCACCACGCCACATGAAGCAATCGCACACAACGCAAGGTCAACAACAAGCGCCAACACGCCTCAAGAGCCAGCTGGGTCGGTGGCTTACGAAGGCTGCATGGTGGGAGTGTAGTAAAATGGGGTTTAAAGCCATCCATGGCGATTTTAAAAAATGCAACCATGGGAGATGTTACACCAGGTCATCCCAGTTACTCCCCTCCAATTTTTTTTTTAAATAAATAAATTGGGCAAGTGACGGCATTAGAGGGCACTTCTAGGAGTGGTCTCAATAGTCAATAAGGATGTTCTGGATGATTACCAAAAATCAATTCGGGCTTACAAAAATCGGTTGTGCTTCACTCAGGGTTGGCTGCCAAGAGGCCATAGTCAGCCAACAAAGTTCAGAACAAAAATCACCTCCAGGACCAAACATTTGGCAAGAATAGAAGAAACAGGCGTTTGCCCATTTGCAAACTCCAATTTACCGGGTTCAAGCCCAAATGTTGGGCAACTTGTCCACTTAGATTTATATAGCGCCGAAGGCACGCCACTTTACAACTAATGTAAACAGTGTGCATAAGACAATTAAATAGAGTAATGAATAGAGTAAATAGAGTAATAAAGGTGTAGTTCTGGCGATGACAGGTGGGAGTGGTTGAGGAGAGATTGGGATAGGCCTGGTCGTAGCTGGGGGCAGGGATTAGTGCGGTTATTATCCAATAGTCACACACACCATGGTTTTTTTTTACATTAAAGTCGTCTTCGCATTAGATCTTTGAATGTTACAGTCGCCACTATGCGACAGCCAGGGCTCCTGCGTAACCACCAGACCGTGGGGTGGGAGCGCGAGAGATGTTAGAGCCACCACAGCCCCATCCGTGAGAAATCTAGGCAGAGTGGCTTTAGTGTCGGAGTCGCTCAAGGAAGCTGGGAATTTTTTTTTAAAGCTCAAAACGTGTCCAGGCACCGTAGCTGGAACAGCCGCCAAATTCAGCCTCTGGGAGGATGCGGAATGATTACAGGAGTCACTCACGGGGGGGGGGGGTAGCAATTGCCACGTCATCTCCCCCCCACCCACCTTTCTAGAAATGGTTCACAGGTTTTTTTTCCTTAAATTGTGTTGTCGATACTGACATTTAGGAGAAAGTTCTCGCAGAGCAGTGCAACACATTGGCGTGTTAGATAACGGCCCAAAGCAACAGAGAGAGAGCTACCACGGACAACACATCCATCGAAGCGACCTTGGCCCACACCGTCAAAGGGGCAACGCTTTCCCACCCACACTGCGAGCGCCACGTGAAAGGTCACCGCGTGAAAGGTCACCACGTGAAAGGTCACCGCGATGTACAAACCGTCTCAAGAGCTGCAACGAGTGCAACCGCAAACTTGTAGGGGTGGGTCTCTCGTGCGCGTGCGCAGTCATTTGGTGACGGGCCGAGACTCAACGTGCCGCACCGGTATAAAAAAATTAATCACGGGCGGCCAACACCTGAATTCGAACACAAGTTCTTGGAGGTGCCAGGTGACCAGAGCCACCCAGCACCACCACGCAATCCTCCCGGCTTCCCCACTACCCTCCCCTGCTCCTCCTCACCTTGCACTTCCTGTCGTCCGCGGTGACCTCGTCGAACTCCTCTCCCAGCTTGCCCGTGATCTTGGTGTTCTTGAAGGTGCTGTGCGACTCCACAGTCACCTTGTCCCCGTCGATGCTGATGACGGCCGTGGGCTTGGTCACGCCGCCGATCTTCCTGGTGGCGAAGCTCACGTCTGGAGAGGGGGTGGGTGGGGAGGGGGGAGCAATGGTTAGCAAACACATAAAGAGTTAAAGGTGCAGCCCCGCAATTACGCTCGCACCACTGCTGGGAGACTGGCCACTACGTGGAAGATCTGAAGTTCGCTTGATGGAGGGCAGCTTTGGCAAGTCGTAGTATCGTTCGCAGACAGGAAAGTTCTGGAATCCCTTCGCAAGCTTTACGGCAGTCTCTGGATTATAAAGACGCTCCGGAAAAAGCAAACCCCAGACCGAATTCTCGTTGCCCCAAAGGTATGCATACATACCAAACCAAATACTTTATCCGGGTCGATGACCCGGATGTAGTAGGTTTAGCACCCGGCACACCACATCCAGTAGATTCCCTACCATGGGCCATCTCCGCCAGCCTTACCCACGATGCTGGCGAATAGTTCGTGATAAATTAAAGTACTGCTCTATATATAAAAAAAAGTTGACAGTTTGACAATCTAGAACTTTTTTTAAAAAAAAAGTGCTATCGTGATCTGGGAGGGGGGGGGGTCACGAGAGTGGATGCCTCCCAATCGTCGTGGCTGCCAAGGTCACACGCGCCACCTACAACAATCAGGTCATCTGCGAACCAGGGGAAATAAAACTTTGCGGGAAACCCAAGCCAAGCGTGGCCGGTTGCAGTTTCCACCAGTTTACACACGAGGAATTCTGTTCTCGGAAAGAAAAAAAATCTCATTGGGCCGTGACTTCGACTTTCACTAATGACGAAAGTCAAAACGTGGCAGTTGCGCTCAAGGGTGTCGACCTTGGGTGCTAAAATAAGCGTCATGACAACAGCGTGGCGGGTGCGCTCGAGTGGACCCTTCCCAGGGCTCTCGAACGGTCACAATGAAATAAATAAATGAGTCCTCATGTGATGGACGACTCGTGAAGCCGTCTCGGTACAACGGGAGGGGGGGGGGGTGCCTGGGAAGCGCACGCACAGCAGAGGCAACGGGCCAAGGCAGAACGAGGAGATTACAGAAGATATATTGATAGGGTGGGGGGGGGGGGGGAAGAATGCGGATCGCTTGAACAGAGTGAAAGGACGAAAGGAATCCACAACGCGCGGACCGACAGGCGTGGACGGACCCACGGCCAGCGCGTTCTTCAGGTGCAAGGCCCGCGGGCCAATTGCGGCCCCTGGTGGCCCCGAGTGCGGCGCGCGACAGACGCACAACAAACGTGAAGACCCCCAGAGTGCCGTCAAACCCCAACGGTGTCAAGGCGTGCGGCGGCCTCGCACAGGACGTCTCATCGGTGAACGTGCTCTCCACCCCCCCGACCACCACCACCACCCTGATCATGTGTGAAGAACACCGATCTCGATATTGCGGACAGACGAGACACGGCAGCTGTGAACGCATAAAATAATACCTGGGGAAGAGACAGACACCGAAGGCACACGGAGATCGGGGGGGCTGGATCTACACGGAGACGGGCAGCCCCCAAGGGGAGACACCGCAACGCAGAATCCGAGACACGCAGCGACAGCCGCATGGCTGAAGCCAGACGGGGAGAGCGGGGGGGGCTCACGCGTGGATGCCGCCGCAGCCGCCCACGTGTTGCGCTTCGAGCGCGTGGTGCCGTGGCCGCGCCTTACCGAGCTTCTTCATGTACTCGTCGAAGTTCTTGCTGTCCTTGAGATCCCACGTGCCGACCAGTGCAGCGTCCGCCATTCTGACTTGAGCGAGTCGATCGGTGCGTGAGCGGGAGGAATGAATCGGCGACAGCAGAGAGCACTGAAGAGACGCTGGCCTAAGCGTGGCGCGCACGCGGGTTTATATAGGGCGGAGCGGTCCCCCCTCCCCCACCTCTCCCTCCCTCCCCCACCTCTCCCTCCCTCCACCCCCACCTCTCCCTCCCTCCCCCACCTCTCCCTCCACCCCCACCTCTCCCCCACCTCTCCCCCCCCAATCCCGCTCCCACCCACGGGTCGCGCCCCCCCCCCTATCCCTCACCATCTCCCATGCCACGTGCTCCGATCCCTTGGCACGGGACGAGTTGACTGCTCACAGCCAGCGCCAGACACTCCCGCGCATTTAAGGAATTCTAAATGGCTTGGGCGGCTTGGAGCCAAGATATCGATTTGATGAATCAACAATTTTGTCGTCGCATGGTTTGTGGATTCAGTCTGATGGGTGCACCACTGTCCGCATCGTTTGCTCAGTCTCGATGTGTCCGCGTCTCATTGGCGCTGTCTGTCTCGTTCCTTGTCGTTCGTCTCGTTCCTTACAATTTGCCTGAGGGTCAAACCAAAAAAGAATTCGCGTGAAAGGTAATTCACCGATCGTGCGCGCGCATGAATCGACGCACGATCCATCAATGCGTAAGGATCGATGTTTAATCAATCATCGACGCGCCACCGCTCCCCGCACCTTCCTCATCGGGGCACCACCACCATCTGCAGCTGCCATTGATGACGACGGTGATCAGTGCCACGTGTAGCCACGCAGGCGGAGTGGATTGGGAGTGAAGGGAACGCGGACACAAAATGTCTTCGTCAGCATCGCCCACCAGTGCCGGATGAAGCGAGTGCGGGGCCTGTAGCAATTGTTCTAAAAAAACACGTAAATATTAAATATTAAAACACAAATGTTGAACTTGCACAGTAAAGTAATAGCATGTTTTCATTTGCTATATAGCCAGATAATACAACAATTCGCTAACCTTAAACACCCAGTCGTTCATAAAAGTTGAAGGCGGTATAGTACTATAGTAATAGAGCAAGTGCAGAATCACTGAACCGGTATTGATAGCTTGAAAACATTTAGCTTTGGACGCCCTTGAAAGTGCTGGGCCCGTAGCTACACATGTAGCTACATAAGCAGCTACTTATGTAGCTGCATATGTAGCTACTTGTGCTACGCGGATGATCCGGCACTGTCACCATCACCGCAGCGTCTGCGCCTCCTCGGCTCACGCCGAGATTTGGTGGCTCGACCCTTCAACCCCCCCCCCCCCGCCGTCAATCGGTGAATGAGTCGAACTTTAGTTTGACGTTCCGATTTCGCCCTCGATGGCATTACAGCAACGTGGACTGGACGTGGCAGTGCAGCAACGTGGACTGGACGTGGCAGTGCAGCAAGTGGGTTGTGAACCCGTCTCTGGGCGCGTTTGTGGGGTTTTCTTCTTCACGCCACTCCTCGCGGGAGGACCTCCCGCTAGAGGGAGCTCTAGAGTAGCTCCACGAGATCGTATTTGGCCTACTCTTCCACGCTGGTCAAATGTCTTGGAAGGTGGTGAGGTGGTGGGGGGGGGGGGGTCCCACACTTGACCTCACCACTCGCGATCTGCTGATTGAATACATTGTGGTGGTGGTGATGATGGTGGTGGTGGTGATGGTGGTGATGGTGGTGGTGGTGATGGTGGTGATCGTAGTTGTGGTGGTGATCGTAGTGGTGGTGGTGATGCTGATGGTGGTGATGGTGGTGGTGGTGATGGTGATGGTGGTGATGGTGGTGATGGTGGTGGTGGTGATGGTGGTGGTGGTGATGATGGTAGTGGTGATGGTGGTGATGGTGGTGGTGATGGTGGTGATGATGGTGGTGATGATGGTGGTGATGGTGGTGATGATGGTGGTGGTGGTGATGGTGGTGGTGGTGATGGTGGTGATGATGGTGGTGGTGGTGATGGTGGTGGTGGTGATGGTGGTGGTGGTGAGGCCCATTTAACTCTGCCGAGGTTTTAATAAACCTTCCCATCGTTTCAGCTGCCGCGCCGACCCGAAATCGAAGCGTCGACTTCTGCAGTGCACTGCTCACCCTCGCACAGCAGCAGCAGCAGCATTCCGTGCATGCATGTGGCACTCATCTCAGAGGGGGTGGGGACATAATCACGTTCACATGGGCACGGTGTATTTCACTCTGACGGGTTGCACCACCACCACCACCACAGAGATCTCTCTCCAAGCGCACTTGGCCTCACCCGTCACGAGTGGGGCGGTGGAGGCGCGCGCTGCAGTGCCACAGTCGCGGGCGGCAGACGATGGCCCAGCAGAAGCTTTGCGTTGTACTGCACTTCTGTGCTGTCACCTCCTGTGTGCCCGGCCGCCTTCAATCAACAACCCGCACGGAGCAGCGTCGTGAAGCATGGCCGGAAAATCGTGGCGTGGGGGAGTTGTGGGGAGCGGTGGTGGAGCGGTTAGCGCGCTGCACTACGAACTTGGCGACCCGGGTTCGATTCCTCACTCACGGCAAACACCAGTGACGATAATCTGAACCGGTCCTGGGCCTCCCCTAGGTCGACTCAGCCTCAAATGAGTACCTGGTGCGGTGTGTAAACATCGCCGCTAGGGAGACAAAGGCGGTCGGGCGTGGTCCTGGCCACCCACCCCCTCGTGTACCGTTCCGGCCTTCATAGGTGCTCGCTAACAACACTTTCCCCTACAGTCTATTAAGGCTATACGGGGGATTTTTGTCTTTGTGTCTTTGTGTGTGTGTTCGCGTTTGCGTGTGCGGCCGCCGAGTTCGATTCCCACTCACGGCCAACAGCGCGAAGGATAATCTTAACGGCTTCTGCCCACCCACCCCCACCACCTCTAGGTCGACACAGCCTCACATGAGTACTTGGTGCGGTGTGTAAACATCGCCACTGGGGAGACAAAGGCGGCCGGGAGTGGTGCCGGCCACCCCCCTCGTGTGTCGTGCCGGCCTCCATGGGTGCTCGCCAACAGCACTTGCCCCACAAATCTGTTCCGAGGCTATACGGGGGATATTTGTCTTTGTCGTGCACGTGGTATTCACGTTGGCACGCGTGATTGTAATCACAGGCGTTCTCTCACACGGTTACAATAAAAGACCCGAGTGCGTGTCTCATTGATCATTAAACACGTGGAGATTAAAGCGCCCTCTGACTCTCGCGATGCGCGCGAGAATGTGTTACTATCTTCTTGGTTCTTTCGGTAAAGTCACGTAGAAGGGAAATAATAAAATAATAAAAAGAAAACATAATAAAATAATTCTTACGACGTTTCGGCCACAACGCAAGCAGCCGTCCTCAGGTGGAGAACAGGTCTGTCGAGAAGACCTGCTCTCCACCTGAGGACGGCTGCTTGCGTTGTGGCCGAAACGTCGTGAGAATTATTTTATATGTTTTATTTTTTTATTTTATTATTTCCATTCTACGTGACTTTACCGAAAGAACCAAGAAGATGAATCACTGCAGTCACGAAAGCTTTAATTCCAAATTGAATGTGTTACTACTCCCGTAAATAATACAAATCATACGATGATGACATTCGCGAGTGAACAACCTCGAAACTAAACACACACAAAACGGACAGACTTCACAACGAGGCAGAACTTTCTGTCCGTCGTGGTATTGTGGTTTAGGATAAGAGAGTGAGTCAACATTTCGAGCCAGTCTCGTCTCAGTCTGCGGGTCTCGTTGAATTAATCGACGAAAGCACTCGGATTAAGCTCGTGCGGGGCCTGTAGCATATGTTATAAAGGGGCCCTAAAACACACTTAAATATAAAAAAAACTAATTTTTAACTTTCATAGTAAAGTAATTGTATATTTTGATTTGCTATACAGCCAGATAATACGACAGATCGCTGAATTTTAACACCCAGTCGTTCATAAAAGTTTAAGGCGGTATAGTACTATGGTAATAAAGCAAGTGCAGAATCACTGAACCGGAATTGATAGCTTGGAAGCATTTAGCGCGGGGCCCTTGAAAGTACGGGGCAAAAAGCATATATTCTTGCTACTGGGATAATCCGGCCCTGATATTTATTTATAGGCCGAGTTTGGGGAGGGGGTGGGGGCACGGGGGGAGGCAATGCCCCGCCCCCCATCCAAACTGGTCACCTTTATTAATTTATTTTTAGTAGTATACAATTAAGATGAAAAATACATTAGGGGCCGTCCATAAATGACGTCACGCACCTAGGGAGGGGGGGTTGAGAAATGTGACGTCACATCAAAATGCGCAACTTTAAATAACTATAGACAACACGTTCTACTTAATTAAATAGACTTTTTAATACATGGTTTCTCCTACAACATCAGAGTGCAGCGCCACATTTAATGCGCACTACAATGACAATAGTTGAAAGCGATTTGAAGCATGTTTTTTTATTTTTTTTGGTGGGGGGGGGGGGGCAGAGATTTGTGACGTCATATTTGAGGGGGGGGGGTCTGACTTTTTGTGACGTCGTGTGACGAAGGAGGGGGGTCAAAAAACGTCAAAAATCGCGTGACGTCATTTATGGACGGCCCCATAATTTTTTTTTTATTTTACCAGGTCAAGGCCCTACTGACCGAAATAGCTCTTATTTTAGAAGCGACCTGGCGATCACAAATGATAGCTCAACGAAGTGGCTTCCCACCATCGTGTAGCAGTAGCGTGGCGTTTATTCTTAATGTGGAGTTGGGAAAACCCGGAGGGACCGGGAGAAAAACCCGCGTAGCAGTGACCACCACGGGGCCGAGGTGGCCGCCAGGTGGCGCTGTCGCCCGTCTCACGGACCCCGGCACGCCGCGAGGGGCACTCGGCCTCGAAGGGAACGCTTCGACTCCTCGCGCTCCGGGCCCCGTTGCTGATGGTGGTCACGCCGGAAACTGAAGTCACGTTTTATAATTTCACTTTTTTTTAATGTATTAATTCGTTTTATGTAGGAACGCTGTTTGACTACTTAAGTGATTGTATGGAACCCGATAGCTACTGTTAGGTAGCTATTCATATGACCATTTAGAAACTGGTCATCATATATAAAAATAATAATGTGTGATTTTCATCGGGCGCCATGGTATTAAGTTCAATCTTCAACCCTCTCTCTGGTATTTCTGTTTAAGGGCTAGGAAGTGGGGCCATTGGCCGAGACGTCGCCTATAAATGTCTTCTCTTGTCAGGCCACAGTGTTATTGACGATGGGTTGAGTGTTGTCGTTGGCTGTGCTTGTGCAGCATTGGCAACGCAGCAGCAGCAGCACCACCGCCATCATAACGCCGCGTGATGCACCTCCAAGTGGTCCCAGCGTTGTGTGTTGCTGCACGGGGAACTTCCATCGAGTGAAACGTCGTCCTACGTCGATGTTGAATTCAGCCGTGAACATTCTGAGGAGGAGTAGGAGGAGGTTCATCGGTGAGAATGTCATCGGCACATTGGCCACGCGTGATAATCGTGTTGGGTGGTGGAGGGTTCTTGACAACGATGTTGGCATAAAAAAATTCCCACCACGTGGCCTCACCACAAAAACGAGCACAGATCAAACGAATACCAGTGTGGGGAGGGGGATATCAGCGGCGGCTGTCCTGCGGATGGACAGTTCCTCGCCAAAGGAATGTGGAATTTCCACCGCTTGTTCAAGATGCATCAAAGCACATGAGCGTCGCTGGACGTTCGTTCGAGCATGAACACACACACAGGCAATATCTTACTGCGAAGTTCATCACGTTAACTGTACTGTATTGCCAGGGCTCACGTGTACAGGGTATGTACACACAGGGGTATGTACACGTGCACAACCATTTGCCAATTGACTGGTGGATGAGGGCCCATCCACGCCTTGCGGATTATTTGACCAAACCTCACCACGCTCATCAATGCGGGTTTGTGCAGTCGGGGAGCGTAGACGTCGACGCGTAGTGCAGTACAACAATGTATTTGTTGCACGGCCCCCTGCTGACAACCAAGAGCTGCCACTCTTCTCTCAGGAGCCTTGGTTGGCAGGTGTTCATTTCCCCCTGCGGTCCTCATCCATTTGGGGGTACAATTCCACGTTCCTATGACAGAGACCAGGACATCAACAGCACAAGCTCTTGCTGGCTTGCTATGAAGTGCAGCAGCCTCGCCACGTCATAGGATGACCACGACGACGATGTCATTGAGGCTACTGACCAGGAAATGAATTCAGGTGCTGGCCACCGTGAGCCCCTGCCGCTCTCTGTCCGCCCAACCGTGATGGTGGTGGTGATGATGGTGATGATGATGGTGATGATGATGGTGATGATGGTGATGATGGTGGTGGTGGTGGTGATGATGGTGATGATGATGGTGATGATGATGGTGGTGGTGATGATGGTGGTGGTGATGATGGTGATGATGATGGTGATGATGATGGTGATGATGATGGTGATGATGGTGATGATGGTGATGATGATGGTGATGAGGTGCACACGATACCCCCCCAGCCTCCCCTCAGCCCCCTACCCCGAGGGGCCTCGCTGCTTTTTGGCAAAAATCTAAAAGCAAAGTGTGGGTCGATAACCGTCTGGGTGACCGCGCAGCGCGGGCGACTCCGCCGTCTCGGAGGCGGGAGGCCGTTTATTCGTGTATTTGTGTATTCGGGTATTCGTGTGTTTATGTATTTGTGTATTTGTGTGTCTGTGTGTTTATGTATTTATGTATTTGTGTATTTGTGCATTCGTGTGTTCGTGTGTTTGTGTGTTTATGTATTTATGTATTTGTATATTGATGTATTTGTATATTGATGTATTTGTGTATTCGTGTATTTACCCCTCGGACTGAATATCGCGGCCGAACGATCTCGGAGAGGGGCTCTTCGGTGACGGTGGCGCGGGAATGCGCTCGGATTCCGTTTCTGGGCCAAGACGAAAAAGACGAAGAAGACGAAGAAGACGAAGCAGCGGTTTCTCTTCCGCTCCGTCTCCAGCTCGTGTCGCTGACACCGCGCCGACACAGAAAGTTCACCACGAAGCTTTGCGCGAGATAAAGGTCACCCGTGTAGCCTGCGCAGGCCGTGTGGACAAGTTCATGTTAGCGAGTGCCTGTGAAGGCTGAAACGGCGCACGATGTGGTAGCGTGGCCAGCATCACACCCGGCCGCCTTTGTCTCCCCAGTGCTGACGTTTACACACCGCACCGAGTACTCATTTACGGCTGAGTCCACCAAGGGAGAACCCAGGAACGGATTAGGATATCGCTCGCCACCGATGTTCTCCGTAGCCGGGAATCGAACCCAGGTCGTCGGGTTCAGAGAGCAGTGCGCTAACCACCGTGCCACGGCTCCCTCCGTGTTGATTGATTGGTGTTGATTTGACGATGTATATATTACCATGCCCTTTCTGCGCGTTCTCCGGTTTCCCGCCACATGGAACCCACGGGCATTAATGGGATTGGCCAAAGCATCCCAATGTATAGCAGGATCCTCTAGAATAGCGGTGTTGAGATTCAATGAGAACGCCCTTTGTTTCACCTGGAAAGCCTCGCCGAGCCTCAAGACTCTTCGTCAAGAGGGCTGCTGCTACGCGGGGATGTTTGGCCCATTCTATAAGTAAGCAATTGTAAATAACCCACTACCACGCACACATAGTAGGGGATACACTACGAAAAGTCCCGCACAGATTGAACGCGTTCGGGAGGACGTCAACCGACGATTACCATCGCAGGATCGTGACAGGTGGCGGCGGTTTTGGGGACTCATTCATGCAGCAGTGGATTGACCGTGGCTGCTGCTCCTGATGATCAGAGCTCCGTGTGTGGTGTGTGTACTGTGGTATGTGTGGTGTGTGTGGTGTGTGTACTGTGGTGTGTGTGGTCTGTGTGGTGTGTGTGGTGTGGTGTGTGTGGTGTGTGGTGTGTGTGGTCTGTGTGGTGTGTGTGGTGTGGTGTGTGTAGTGTGTGTACTGTGGTATGTGTGGTGTGTGTGGTGTGTGTACTGTGGTGTGTGTGGTCTGTGTGGTGTGTGTGGTGTGTGTGGTGTGTGTGGTCTGTGTGGGGTGTGTGGTGTGGTGTGTGTGGTGTGTTGTGTGTGTGGTCTGTGTGGTGTGTGTGGTGTGGCGTGTGTGGTGTGTTGTGTGTGTGGTCTGGGTGGTGTGTGTGGTGTGGTGTGTGTGGTGTGTGTACTGTGGTATGTGTGGTGTGTGTGGTGTGTGATACGTTAATATTTGTATCATCATCACCATCACTGCATCGTCACTGCTACACCTATCGTTATCACATCGTCATGCAACGATCATCACCATTGCTACAGTCACCACCTACACCAGCTTCAGTTGTATAGACACGCAAAGACAAAGACCCCCCAGGTAGCCTTCACAGACTGTTGGGGCAAGTGCTGTAGCCAGCACCTATGAAGGCCGGCACGGGACGCGAGGGGGTGGGTGACCAACACCACGCCCGGTGGCCTTTGTCTTCCCAGTGCTGATGTTTACACACCGCACCAGGTTGTCATTTGAGGTTGAGTCAACCTAGCGGAGGCCCGAACCGGTTAAAAAAAATTAGCCATTGTTATTGGTCTTTAACGTGAATCAAACTCGAGTCGCCGGGTTAATAGCGCAAGTGCGCTAACCACTACGCCACCACTCTCCATAACTATTAATGCACACATGGGTGACATAAATACGTATACAACGCGACATACACACACGGCACATAACACGTACACACACACACGTACACACACGTACACACACACGTACACACAAGTATATACACACGTGCACATACACGTACACACACGTGCACCCACGTACACACACACGTACACACACGTGCACCCACGTACACACACATATACACACACGTATATACACACGTACACACACGTGCACATACACGTACACATAACACGTGCACGTGTGTGTGCATCACGGGCCGCATTCGGCGCGAATGCGCGGCGATCCCCCCCCCACTCACCCTGCAGACCCCCCACTCACCCCGCAGCCCCCCCCCACTCACCCTGCAGCCCCCCCCCCACTCACCCTGCAGCCCCCCCACTCGCCCTGCAGCCCCCCCCACTCACCCTGCAGCCCCCCCACTCACCCCGCAGCCCCCCCACTCACCCTGCAGCCCCCCCCCCCACTCACCCTGCAGCCCCCCCCCACTCACCCTGCAGCCCCGCCCCACCCACCCCGCAGCCCCCCCACTCACCCTGCAGCCCCCCCCCACTCACCCTGCAGCCCCCCCACTCACCCTGCAGCCCCCCACTCACCCCGCAGCCCCCCCACTCACCCTGCAGCCCCCCCCACTCACCCTGCAGCCCCCCCCACTCACCCCGCAGCCCCCCCCACTCACCCTGCAGCCCCCCCCACTCACCGTGCAGCCCCCCCACTCACCCCGCAGCCCCCCCCCCACTCACCCTGCAGCCCCACCCTCACTCACCGTGCAGCCCCCCCACTCACCCCGCAGCCCCCCCCCCACTCACCCTGCAGCCCCCCCCCCCACTCACCCTGCAGCCCCCCACTCACCCTGCAGCCCCCCCTCACCCCGCCCCCCACAACGCGAGCCCAGACTGACTCCTCCCACCCTCTCTTCCCGTCTACCGCCCCGCTCCTTGATCCTCCCCTCCTCGCCCCCTCGATCCTGTACCCCCCCCCCCCCCACCACCTACCCACTTCTCTCCTCCTCTTCACCCTCGTCTCTCTCCTCCCATCTCTTCTCTCATCTCGCCTTACTTCCCTGTCCCCTCCCCACCCTCTCTCCTGCCCATCTCTCCCTCCCCTCTGCTCCCTCGGTCTCCTCCCTTCCCCATCCCCTCGTCTCTCCTCACCCCTCCCCCCCCTCGTCGCTCTCCCCCTTTCGACTCCTCCGGGACGCGCACTCTCAGCGAGAAAAAAAGAGAAACACACGCGGCTCGGCTCAGTGACGGCACTCGCAGCGAGCGAGAGAGAGAGAGCCAGGCGAGAGCGAGAGAGACGGAACGAGAGACGGGGAATTCTGTCCGTTCAGTAGTGGAAACAAAAGCCACAGAAATTGAATTAAATTCGCAACCGAATGCATCGATTCGTTAATTCTCGAACCCAACAGAACCAGCACGCCTCGCTCCCCACTCGCTTCGCGGACGCGGTTACGCAATTACGCAGTGCGGGGCACGCATAATCAGAGTGCACGTGTATACTACAGTACGACCTGGTGCACTCTATACGTACACTCTAGTCTACATACATACACTCTAGTACCATACACTCTAGAGTATAGGCTAGAGATTTTGGTGCAATCACATCGCGTGCGAAAGGGCACGTGTGGTCACACACACACACAGACATCAACGCACGCGAAGAGAGGGGGGCAGGGGAGGGACTGCGAGCTTGGACAGAGGCTGCGAGCTGGGAGATCGAGCTAGGAGTGAGAGAGAGACTGCGAGCTGGGAGACCGAGCTAGGAGTGAGAGAGAGAAAGACTGTGAGCTGGGCTTAGAGCCTGCGACCTGCACAGGAGCTGCCAGCTGCGAGCGAGGAAGCCATCGGAATGCGTCGCTGTACGGGACGTTGCTCCTTGGTCTTCATCTGCGCCCTGCAAGTGGTGAGTGACTTGAGATCCATTCTCATCCTCCTCCTCGTCTTCCCCTTTCTTCCTCTTCTGCTGCTTGGTCCCGCACCCAGGAGCCACCCACGCACGATTCTGATACCGCTGCTGCCGCCGCCGCTGCCGCCGCTGCCGCCGCTGCTGCTGCTGGAGCACCAACGGTGGCTCGAGCAGCAGCGGCAGCCAGACTCACCGCGGCATTCGAAGAGAACAATGCAAAGCGCCAACACGACTACCATCACGCTCGTACTCGCGATTAACACCGCCCCGCAGCCGGAGCGAATGCCACCAGCTCTGCGGTGGCGTGTTCGCGTTGTATCGCGCTGTGTTCGGCACCATGTCCGACGTTTCGGTTCACGTGCTTGGGTGGAAGCTGCTTCGGTGAATTCAGTTTTTGAATGCGCCCGTCCCCCCCTCCCCGCAAGTTTCCGAAGAACCTTTCACCAGGTGCTGCGAAACGTCGAACAACACGCGGCACATTCAGACAATAGTCAGATATCAAGGAGTGATATTATTATAATAAGATGACGTTTTTGGCAATGGCCCTTCTTCCGAGTAAAATAAATAACAAGTCTGTGTATGCCTCGTGTCGCCGTGATGCATGTTATGTACCATTGTAGTATATTGCCTCGACGCGATCTAAATCAACATCGCATTGCGCCGAGTTGCACTCGGGGAGAGATGACGCCGCATTCCGTGGGGGACCCGTGAAACGTTGGACCATTTAACGAAAGAGAAGAGAGAGGGACCTTCAGCCAGCAGTGGATTGACCGTGGCTGATGATGATGATGGTGATCGTTTAGCCATTTAAACGGTGCAAACTGTAGCGCGCACGCCTCTGCGTGCCACAGATGTCCATCACGCACGCGCACGCACGCACGCGCGCGCACAGAGGAGTCGCGCGATTTGTTGAGCGGGCAAGGCTCTGCGGAGGGATGGACGGTCGGGAAACTCCTGCGCCAACGGACTTCGCGAAAGGCCCCGCGACGCAGCTGTGTTTGTTAACGTTTGCGTGCCCTGTTCTGTGCGCAAAGGTAACATTCTAAAGCACTGGCGGCGGTTATTTACTCTCTCTCACACACAAACACAAAGACTAAGCTCCCCCGTGTAGCCTTTGAACAGACTGTTTTGGAAAGTGCCGTTGGCGAGTAGCACCTATGAAGGACGATACGGCGCACGAGCGGGTGGGTGGCCAACACCACGCCCGCCCGCATTTGTCTCCCCAGTGCTGGCGTTGACACACCGCACCAGGTACTCATTTGAGGCGGAATCGACCGAAAGAAGGTCTAGGATAGGTGCAGTTATCTCCTCCCTCTAATTTGTTATTTTTATTATTAATAATGGGATTGGCCAGACATCCCAATCAAATGCAGAACTCTTCGTAAAACGGGTATTGAGACTCAGTGAGGGCGCTAATGTGATTGCGATTACACGGGTGCACTCATCACATGATGGCACTCCGAGCTCACTGTCTTACACATGGCACGTGGCACGCTTTGAATTTTACATCCAATTATTTTGCGGGACGTTGACGGTGGCTGTTGTTTCTGACACATCGGCCACCGCCATAGGAATGTGGAATTTCCACGAGTAGCTCAGGTGTGTCAACATAATATGAGCGCCAGCCTAGGGGACACTTTGACTAGTCTACTCTTGATGTGTGCGGTTGTTTTGTTTCTCCCCAAAAAAGAGACGTGGCCATCGAATAAGAATCCACATTTTAAGCGCCCGTATCCGTCCGTTTGTGTGTGGGGCTGTCAATCGCAGCTCGTATGAGAGAATGTTTTGTCTCACAAAGTTGGGTTGTAGCTCGTTCCGAGCACAAGGAATCAGGGACCTTGGCTACTGGCAGTGCGCTTTGTGCATTCTACAAAACGTTAACCGAGGTCAAAACGTGTGACAAAAATTGTTGGTGGAGTAGGGCAAAGCCAAGTTGTGGCTTCGTGCAGGGCTATTGTGTAAAGGCGCAGCCCTGCAATGCTTTGCTCACGCCACTGCCGGCAGAAGAGTCTCCACTAGAGGGAGCTCCAGAGAGCCCCTCTGGAGGGCTTTTGTCTTGGGAGAGATGCCAGCACCTCCACTGCCGTGTAACCATTCACACCGCTTGGTGGACAGAGCCGGGGTGCTGGTGGGATTTAGGAAACTTTCTCCATTATTTTAACCGCCGCACCGGGAAATCGGATCGCAGCGGTGACCTTTGGATTGCTGCTCACCATTACACCACTGTGGCCGCATCCGGCAAAACGAAACGTAACGCAGTCACACGTCTGTGCGATGGGACGGCGCCTGGAACTCTGCTTGTGGGGTTGAGCCGCCCGTATTGCACAGAAAGCTTAGGTTTTTGGAGGTCGCTGGCTATCGTTGGCCCTACGCACATACTAGATGGGTGGGGGGGGGGCGAGGGGGATTAGCTTTGGCAACAATTAACATCTAATTAATCTTCCTCTTCCTCCGGTGGCAATTAAACGAGAATGTCCAATCAGTGTTACGTGCTGCGGCATCATCGTTACTATGCGGGAAGCGTCCTCACGTGGTCCAGAGTGAATTTGTAATAACCGAAACAAAATAATCTCCCTATTATACGCGTCTGCGGGAGCGTGTTTAATTGGAGGTGTTGTGGATGCCAAGGCTGAACATCCAGCAACAACTAAAATAAATAAAAAGGCAGCCTCGGCAAAGCAACAGAGGTCGGTTTATGAGTAGGGTTCGAGCTACGAAGAAGATGAGTAGTGGTTGCTGGTTCGCTAGTTTGTTCGGCGCGTGGCTGACTGCCTGTGGTCAGTGTCACGAGTCAGTGGCAGGGCGAGGACTCGTGGCTGATTGGCTCGCGGGTTAGAGTGAGAGGAAGGGCGAGTATCAGGTTGTCACACGTCGCATTTTCATTTTTTGTTCCGAGAATGCGATGCGTGTGAGCGTGGGTTCTGGTGCGAAAGGGATGAAAACGTCGTCTCCCGCTTTACACACTCAATGTCTCCTCTCTCTCTTCGGGGCCCGGGACGTTGGCCCCGGGTGCAGTTGCACCGCCTGCGCACTCGACAGCTTCCTCGCTGGCTTGGTTGGTGGCTGCAGCTGATCGGGAAACGCGTTCTGAAGCCCGCAGCTGCCAAGTCCGCGCACAATGTAATGTACGGCCCCTTTGCTAATCCACTGCTGGACAAGGGCCTTCACATGGCACGCGGGTCGTGGAGCTCGTTTGACCGTACTTCAGCACGTTGCATAAACACGGGAGCATTTGAGATACAGTGCAACAATTCGTCTCGCACTGCTCGCTGCTGCCCACCACCCTGCCTAGCAGCCTAGGACGGCCTGTCCGTGAGTGGCGCTCACCTGTCCGAGCGCGATCCAGGCTCAAGCCCTGCTTGGAATCCCGAGATCTGACGGAACGGGCGCGTTGTGGGTGATTTGGTCACAGCTAATGATGCCGATGTTGATACGAACGATGATGCAGACGAGTGTGGTGATGATCACGATGATGACGATGTCATTATCACGACGACGGCGACGATAACGAAGAGGACGACGAATCGCAGATCCCCGGCTGGGATTTGAACTTGTCACTTCACTCGCTCGCTCGTCGCCTGAGCTGCCCCGCTGCGAGCCCCGAGGCCAAAGCGAACCCCGCGGGAGGCTCGTTCGGCGCGGCCACGCGGCAGCTGCGGCGGCGGCGGCGCGGCGAGCGCACAAAGAGGACGCGCTGAGCTGCTGCTGCGGCTGCGGCGGAGTCGGCGGCGAGGGGCGTCGCTCATTAACGGGACGGGACCGCGCTTCTCTTCTCTCTCTCTTCTCTCTCTCTCTCTTTGTCAACACAAAGCGGCGGCGGTGGTTGCGGTGGCGTTTAAAACGATGCCACCCCCCCCCCCACCCCGAATTCGGGAATCGCCGCCGACACCGCGGGGGGTGGGGGGGGCGACGCGCGAGCCACGAGGGAGTCGCTCCCGGTCGTAGCGGCGACGCGCCCGCCGTTGATGCTCCCCCCCCCCGACGGCAACTCGCCATCGCCGCCTTCCTTCTGCCAGGTCCCGCAAGCTGTTGCCCAGTCGATGCCCGGCGCTCCCCCTGGATCCGCTCTTACTTTCTGATCGCAATCCGGCTTTGGGTCTTCTCCTTGTCACGCAGGTGGCAAGTCCTTGAAGGGTCACGGTGACAGTCTCACTGCCACTATCGCTCTTCCCCTTGGTCACCAACCTCTGATCGCCACTCCAATGCCCGTATCGGCAACCTCCCTGCACACGTGTGGCCCACCCATCGTATCTTACAGCAGTCCTCCTAGCTTCGTTCTAATCCGAATAGCCAAGTTGCTTAACCATATCTTCCTCCGCCCTGCGCTCGTGCCCCACCCATCACCACCCTCGTCTCGTGTTTCGCTGTCTCCGGCTGCGGACGATAATACTCCAAATTCGACGACGAAAAACAACAACAACAATGTCCCTGACCGCTAGCCAGAGCAGCTCAAGTCGTGTGTGGGGGTAGCGCACAGCTCGGCCATCACGGGTCATTTCAAAATTAAGCAAATTCGGACCGTGAAAATTCGGCACACAATGGGCAGCCCTAAAGAACGGCGCCGCGGGGCGCTTCGCGTCCAGGCCACAGCAGAGAGAGAGAGAGCGCCGCTCGGATCGCGCGCGACCTCCCCACGCGCTTGGGCAGCCACCGTGGGGCGCGTAGCCGCCCGAGGCACCGCCCGCATCGCCTGTTGAGAGCGCGGCGCGGAGACGCCCGCGGTGGCCGAACGAGGCGCCCGTCGATGCCCCCGACGACGCCGCTCACGGAGTCCGTCAACGGACGCGAGCGAGCAGCACGCTCGGTGCGCTGCAGAGTCAGCGCAGGGCGTGGACGTCGTTGTCGTGTCGGAGTGCGGGAGGCGAACTTCGCGCGCATCCCACCGACAGTCCAGCCAGCAGCCACCGTGACACTCTGCCAGTGGACACTTGCCACCTTCCACGGAGCGGATGTGCCTCCGATGCACACCTACCCCCCCCCCACCCTCGTCCCCTGCTGATCGGTGCCCCCTGTAGCGAGCGAGGTCGCCAGGTCAAGTGGCGTAGATGTCGAGTGCGCAGGCGGTGCAACTGCACTGGGGCACACGACCCGGAGAGGCCCAGGCGCCGGGCTCCAGAGACACCGACAGACCTACACAGAGACCCATAGACTTACATAGAGATCCAGAGACTCACACAGAGACCCATAGACTTACATAGAGATACACAGTCTTACACAGAGACCCATAGACTTACATAGAGATCCAGAGACTCACACAGAGACCCATAGACTCACATAGAGATACACAGTCTTACACAGAGACCCATAGGCGTGCATAGAGATCCAGAGACTCACACAGAGACCCATAGACTTACATAGAGATCCAGAGATTCACACAGATACCCATAGACTTACATAGAGATCCAGAGACTCACACAGACTACCCATAGACTTACATAGAGATACAGAGACTCACACAGAGACCCATAGACTCACATAGAGATACACAGTCTTACACAGAGACCCATAGGCGTGCATAGAGATCCAGAGACTCACACAGAGACCCATAGACTTACATAGAGATCCAGAGACTCACACAGATACCCATAGAATTACATAGAGATCCAGAGACTCACACAGATACCCATAGACTTACATAGAGATACAGAGACTCACACAAATACCCATAGACTTACATAGAGATACAGAGACTCACACAGATACCCATAGGCTTACATAGATATCCAGAGACTCACATAGAAACCTATAGACTTACGTAGAGATCCAGGCTCAAAGCTGCTCAG